AAAATCTTAATATGTCAACTATCCTGTCATTAGTGATAAAGTGCTGTGCCAATCACATACAGTGTGTTTGGACCTGCCCCTAATTTTTTTTTTTTTCAAAGTCTAAGACATCGTATTGGAGTGTGAGGCCTTATGTACACTTATAATCTCCTGATCTTGTTACTTGTTCCATTCAGGGCTGGAATGAATACAAGAGTGCAGTATTTGAATACGAATACAATGAAACAGTCACTCCAAAAACGAATAATTTTTTTAAGTTTTCATGAATGCTTTCATGAATACTATTGGTTAAAAAATAAATTTTGATTATTATAAGTATGGTACCTATGAAGTAGTAGATGATTTTATATAGAGAACCCTTGAAGATCCGGACCTGGTAAATCTAGATTTCGGAAGATTCAATACAAATTTTTGGGGGTTCTGGGCTAAGAAGCCTCCCTATGAAGCACTCCCAAAACAAGGTGAGGGTAGTTTTAGGCTTAAAGTTTTTAACTTATAAAATGTCACAGACTAAACTTAGCAGAATACTGTATAAGTTGCATTACTAGAATCCTTGCAAGATAGCAAATAATTTGTGTACAGTGGTCCCCCGGTTAACGAACGGTTCGATTAACGAAATTTTGGTTAACGAATTACCTCCCATAAGGATCATCAATTCGGTTAACGAAAAAACTTTGATTAACGAAATCCTTATGACAAACACATTTTGTTGTGAGCATCAGCTGATGGGCTAGTCTGCCAATTCAGTAATCTGTTCTATGTTTACATTTGTTTCCAGTGGAATAAATATCAAGAAAGTTGTGCTCTTTAATATTTTTGCATTTTTTATATTAAAATTATTAGTTATTTTAAAATTTAGTTAACATATTGATAATATATGCAGTACCGGGAAAAAGTTTTTTGTGCGTCCATCAGCTGCTTGACTCACCCACCAGGTGTCAGTTTGGCTTTGTTTACAGTGGAGTGAACATCAATTTTGTTGGTGTCTTGAATATTTTTTTCATTTTTACATTAAAATAATTGGTCATTCGGAAATTTAGTTAGCATATTGATAATATATAATGCAGTGCACTGTTCATTTAAATAAAATGATCTTGAATCACACCTAGTGAACTTAAAATTTTATTGGTGAAATTACTGCATCAGGCATGGGTCCCCTGAAAGGTGATTTCTCCTCCATCCCCACTTCCTTCTTTTCTCCCTTCTCCTCCACCCCCACTTCTAATTCCCATCATCATCAACCAGGAACCTTCTACATACACACCTCAAAGAAAGTATACCCTGTACTTTATGGCATTTTTTTTACTTTGTATGTACTTTTCTGTGAGCTGGAGAACCAATTACAGTCAACCCTCACTTTACGCGGTTAATGTAACCCACAGGGTACCGCGGAAAGTGAGAAACGCGTAAAGTGAATAACATAACATATGGGATTAAATGAAATAGAGACCAGCTGACCCCCAAACTCCACTTTTTCCGACACAATACTATGTTCTAGTAAAAATAACATCTTAATTTTATGATGGTACATGCACACAATTAATACTTAAGAGAAATAGAGAAATACAGTCGCCAAGTTAATGTCCATTCAAATAATGGACTCAACTCCCTCCCCCTCTTCTCACACTACACTCGCTGGTTCTTCCCTCTCTGAAAAATTTTGGGGGGAAAACCAGGTATAGTAATAAATAATACCTCAAACTAAAGTTAGGATAATATAATTGACATTGCTGGATTCCTTGTAAGACCAGGAATATTTTGAATATAAATGTCATATATTCTGCACAAAAGATAACATATCTACTCAGAGTAAACATTATATCTAAAATTTGTATGTCTAATGCAAAATCTATGATGTTTATATTCAAAATGATCATCAAATTGTAAGAATTCCAGCAATGTAAGTAATATTCTGGCCGGGTAATTTGTATGAATTTTATGAGCTAAAACAAATATCTTCAGTTAATAAAAAAAAAAAATATTCTTCACTACACTATCTGTCAATCAAAGTACCCCACCTTGCCTCCCCCCCTCTTCCAACCGCCAGATGGTCAGTCCGTCCCAACCCTCCCCCCACCCCCACCAACCCTCCCTTCAAGAGAAAGGTTGGGTGAAAAAACTAGATTTTAACATTTAGTATTAAATAATACCCCAGATTAAAGTTAGGATAATATAATTGACATTGCTGGATTCCTTGTAAAACCAGGAATATTTTGAATATAAATGTCATATATTTTGCACAAAAGATAACATATTTACTCAGAGTAAACATTATATCTAAAATTTGTATGTCTAATGCAAAATATATGATGTTTATATTCAAAATGATCATCAAATTGTAAGAATTCCAGCAATGTAAATTATATTCTGGCCGGGTAATTTGTATGAATTTTATGAGCTAAAACAAATATCTTCAGTTAATAAAAAAAAAATATTCTTCACACCGTGACCAAGTACCAGGTGGTCGGTCGCCGGTCCCTCCCTACCAGATGAATGTGTGGGAATACCAGACTGTTTACCTTTTTAGTAATAAATAATAAATCAGACTAAAGTTAGGATAATATAATTGACATTGCTGGATTCCTTGTAAGACCAGGAATATTTTGAATATAAACGTCATATATTTTGCACAAAAGATAACATATTTACTCAGAGTAAACATTATATCTAAAATTTGTATGTCTAATGCAAAATCTATGATGTTTATATTCAAAATGATCATCAAATTGTAAGAATTCCAACAATGTAAATTATATTCTGGCCGGATAATTTGTATGAATTTTATGAGCTAAATAAAAAAATTATACTTCACCCGTGTAAAGGGGTTCACCCACCGCGGAATGTGAGCATCCTGGGTTCTGGCAGGGCACCGTGTAAACGTGGAAACGCGGAATGTGGGACCGCGTAAAGTGAGGGTTGACTGTACTCAATACCCATTGAAACAATGGATTCGGTTAACGAATGACTGTGGAACAAAGTGTTAAAATGATATGAAAAGGCGAGAGAGGTCTGTGGATATTATATGGAGCAAGCAATGAACATATTTTCTGAAGTGGATCCATTAACACAGGGGTCACCAAACTTTTTTCACAGTGGGCCGGATAACTGAAAGAATGACGAGCGCGGGCCGCATAATCATTCTGTTCAATACTTGCAAGCCAGAACGAAAGCCATGGAAACCATGGTAACGTCAGAGCGTAGGCGGAGCTACCACGGCGGGCCTGATGAACTGACGTCGCGGGCCGGATCCGTAGTTTGGTGACCCCTGCATTAACAGAACAAAGCATTAAAATAAACAGGGAAGTGAAAAATGCACGGCTAGGCAGGGGGATATTTATATCTTTCTGCCGGATCAAATGTCAAAGTGCAAAGATGAGAAACGCTGCTGATTGGCTGATATGAAGGCTGCAACTGACCAATCACCGCGCAGTTCAAATGCAAGGGCTGATTTGTGGAACTTGCCGCTGATTGGCTGGGAAGAGGACGGCAAGTGACCAGGCTTTACTGTCCACCAAATCACTATAACCCACCCACTTGAGTACAGGTACTCGACTTATGACCACCCGGACATATGACCGCCGCAGTCATACCAAAAATTTTCGAGTCCCGACATTAGTGTTCGCGCTGTGTGCTGACAAAATCTTCATTTGTAATTCCCTTTAAAATGGCTGGCAAGCGTAAAAGTGAGAGTTCTCATGGTGCTGAGAAGAAAAAGAGACACCCATTTTAGATTTTCTATGTATTATTTTTGCATTTTCGACTTACGACCTGGATTTGGGTCCGTAACCCCATCGTAAGTCGGGGACTGCCTGTACAGTATTTTTCTATTAATTTTCGTGTACTGGGCGCACGGTCTGTTGTAACCAACACCACATTACATGGAAGGTAACTCTGTCAACTTTCTGTTCTCTGTTATGATTAGCTTCAGTTTTACAGGGTGTCCATTAAGTCCCATTCTGATTTCAAACATATATTATGTGCAAACAGCATAACATATTGAAATGCAGTGTTTTGCATTTGCTTAAGTGAAAAACAAAACTTGAAGTTACTCTTTCAAATGCAAAAATAATTTTCCACTTTCTTTTATGAAAATGTCCAATTTTCTTTTAAAATTTCCAAATATTTTTTATAAAATTTTCCCATTTTTTTATGCAATTTCTCCTTTTCTTGGATAAAAAATAAAATTTCCTATTTTCTTTAAAAAAATTCCATTTAATTTTATAAAACTTCCTGTTTTCTTTGTAATCTTAAAGTGGATAGAACCAAATGTCACTGGCTGGACAACATCACTAAATATTATGTGACAGATTAATAAAGGAAGCACATTTAAGATTGATAATTCAACTTTTTAGCAGTTTTTTAAGCAAGTTTTTGTTCTAGAAAAATATTATTTTTTCCTCGCCAATTAATGGTACTAAAGACTCCCATGTTGATGATCGTCTGTGTACAGTCCGGAATTTAACGGCAGTGTTTGACACCTCCGGAACACCAAACACACGAGTAAGATGACCCATAATGCATCAGCAAAGGTGGACAAGCTTACCAACCTAATCCACGACAGTCCCACACAGACTCCTACCTGAGGGTTCTTCATTTAAGAGGGAAGGAGGGTGATTAAAACTCCGGACATATGACATTTGAGATGACCTTTCCAGGAGAAACATTTCCCACATTCAAATAGTTTCATACCACTGTGTGCTGCAAGTATGTGTATCAAAGATTATTTGTTCCATACACTCCATACTACAGTATATGTTATAGTCATCCTTCTAACCTTGATCAAGAAATACTGAATTCCCCTTCACTATAAAGCTAAAGGTCTGCTTAACAAAACTGTTGTAGTAATTGTGCACAGCTTAAGCCAACCACTCAACAGCTTCCTAATACAGCATTAGGTGTGGGTTTTTTTTAATATATTTTTTTCTTATTTCACACTTCAAAAGAATGCCCATATTATATGAAAAAAGAAGAAATATTTCAATGATAGTCACAGAAAGTACTAAGAAATATTCATTTATTTATAGATTCTCACTAATTTATTTCAAATGAATGAGTTACATTTGTTTGATAGAATATAAATTTCCATATTTAATGGTACAAATAAAATGCAAATACACATAACACTTTCTAGTCTAGAAGAAATTAAAATAAAACAGACTTATAAAAATTAACTTCCAAGTAGTTTACAGTTAAACATCATCTACAAAGTCATCCACTTGATGACACACCCAACCAACCCAGTCAAGCATGTGTAAGAGTGTTGGATCATCATGGAAGTCCTTTTGCTCCAGAGCTCTTCTTGATACTCCCTCAATACATGATGATATTCCTGAGAGAATTTCCTGAAAAAAAGAGATCAAGTTCAGCATTGTCTGACGAAGGAAGCTAATAGGACTCATAGTGACACTAAAGTACAATTTCTTAAAACAGGGATCACTTACAACAGCCTTTGTACAGTATTAGGAACATTCAAGTAAACAAAGAACAATATTTCCTCTGCCAGCAACAGTACTGTATAAATATTTAAACAGGTGGACACCATTTAGAGCTGCCCCTGTTAGTGCTCATTCCTTATAGCACTCTGGGTCCTGGAATGGATTTTTTTAATGAATTAAAATAAGAAAAAACACAACATAGCTAACTTATTTTTAAACTTGGAAAGGTTATTATTTTACTATAAAAATATTGATGATTGGTAAATTTTTATAAAAAACTGTTGAGAATTATTCACCAGGTGATCACGTGGACACAACAGCTGTATCACTTGTTCTGACTCTGTTACTCTCACGATATTATTGATGGACGACAATGTATTGTGTGTAGTGAACATATAATTTGTTTAAAAGTGTTTTGAAATGATGGCACCTGCTTTAGCACATCCACATAGCCTTTAGTATAAGACCATATGTCTTTACAGTAATCCCTCACCCGCCACGTGCGTTAAGTTCCTGAAAAACACAGTGGTTGGCAATACTAAAGGCTTATGGAAAACAGAGGGTAAGGTTCCATGGCCATGGATAACACTCGTTAAAGATTAATTAAGCTGCCTGTTCCTTCACTGAACAATACAGTAGGGTTGGGATATATCGCCGAGATAGGGTCCAAGGATGTTCGCTATAGTATACTGTACTAAATCGCAATACAGTGAACCCTCACTTTACGCGGTTAATTCAACCCACAGCGGCCCGCGTAAAGTGAGAAACGCGTAAAGTGAACAACATAACATATGGGATTAATTGAAATAGAGACCGAGCCGACCCCCAAACTCCACTTTTTCAGACACAATACCTACGTAGTAGTAAAAATAACTTCTTAATTTTATGATGGTATGCACACACAATTAATAATTAAGAGAAATATCAATAATATTAGGTTTTTTAACACTTACATAAGTAGAAAAGATGGCTGGGCACACGGGGATGGGGGGTTGGTTCCGAGGCAGAGGGCAGATTATTGGCCCTCACCTGTATCACTTGTATCAATTGTATCACTATCCACCACAGAGGCTTGCAGGGCCTCTTTGTCAAACCCCTCAAAGTCCATATCCCCACTATAATTATCACTATCACTGACTTGGGCTGGCTGTGGTGGGTGGCAGGTGAAGAACTCGGTAATGTTTTGATGACTGGGCGACCTTGTGCGCACCCTGCTCGCGCCGCTCTCCGCGTAAAGGGGTACACGCACCGCGGAATGTGAGCATTCCGGTTTCGGCAGGGTACCGCGTAAACGTGGAAACACGGAATGTGGGACCGCTTAAAGCGAGGGTTGACTGTATATAATTACACGTAATCAATGGGGAAAATAGGGTTAGGTTCTGGAGGCCAATAAAAGTGACTTAACTTGACAAAGTGGCACAGTCTAAAGTTAGCAGAATAAAAACTGCTTTGCTGGAATCCTTGTAAGACAGCGAATAATTTGAATATATATATTACATATTTTGCACGAGATAAATGTTTTAGTCCTTTGTACTAAAATGGACTAATTATTAAATATAATTTTGTCTATTGCTGATTGGCGCACCAAAAACTAGTTTCCTGTACTGCAATTATGTTAGATAAGTGTTAAAATGACTAAAAATTTTAATATAAAACTTATTGAATAGTACAACCTTCTTGATATTTACTCAAATGGGAACGAATTTAAGCCCTAGAATCAATTACTGTATTGCCGGACTAATATTCCAGCTGGTGAGCAAGCGAAAACATGTTGACATGATTTCGTAAGAATTTTGTTAACTGAATTTTTGTTCGTTAACTGAATTGAAGATTCTTATGGAAGGTAATTCGTTAACCGAAATTTCGTTAACCGAGGCGTTCGTTAACCGAGGGATCACTGTACATTAAATAGTAATACCTGCACCCAAGAATGTCTGCGGGTAGTTTTAAAGTTGCCGTCATTTTTGCGGCAGGGACAGGGAGCCATTCGTTCTAGAAACAGTAATTTCCATTACCTGTGTTGTATATATACATATGTGTGGGTGTGTGTTTCTGATGATTTGTGAGAGGATTTTCCAATACAGGTTAAAGAAATTACTGTCTCTAGAACGAATGGCTCCCTGTCCCAACCAAGAAAATACCGGCAACTTTAAAACTACCCACAGACATTCTTGGGTACATTCAGGGTGTCATCCGCGAATAATAGAGGACTGCGAAATAAAAAATCCGCAAACTTAGGGGTCCTCCTGTACAGGTAAAAGAAATAATTGTCCTAAGGGCAAACACATAATGGGAATATACGTTTCTTTGTAAAGCACCCAAGTAAAAATGTACCCCCCCCCCCAACCGTCAACAAATGTTATTCGCAGATTTGGCGATTCTCATCCATTTGGAGAACCTAACCCCCACAAATTTGAAGGGCATGCTGTATATGTAATTTTCTCTGTTAAATGCACACACAATCATTCATACAGAATGTGAAAAAAAAGAAGAGAAAGATTATTGTCAGGTCAAAAAACAAAGAGAATAAAACATTTCTTATGCCCATGGGAGTTAGCCCACGATCGTAGTAGGGGGGAGCACGCTCCTGTGTCTTTGGTGTCCTTGCCAAATAGCAATGCAGTATTTTTTATTTTGCTATTTATCAGTATTAATTTTATTTATTCCTCACATTTACGGAGGAATACACCCTGTACATTAGACCACGGAAGGAAAAGGATGCCACACTAATCAGAGAATACATAAAACTAAATGCTGCAGTTGGTGAAATTGTATACAGTACAATAAGCCCCCACTGATCAAAAGGGTTAGGTTCCACTAAAATGCCTTCGTTAGGTGGATTATGTTCTTCGAAACCATTTTTACCATATAAATTAATACAGTATAATAAGTGGGGATGTGTTCCTGTAGAATACTTTGTGATAGATTAATATACTGTACTAAGCTCTGTGACAAAATAATTGCAATACATCAAAATACTTTAGATAAAATCAATAAAACGTGTAAAACCTAAAGGTACAAATAGTGTTAATCGACTCAACAAATCCATGTCAAAAGCAACAGGTGCAGTGGTTGTTCCTCTCCGAGGCCAGAGGAACACAGTTACTTAAAATTATTTAGTTATTGCTAGGGGGAGGATCATCTGCCTCTTTACTTGAGGCACTGTAATCACTGCCATAGTCATCAGGTGACAGGACTTTGGTGGTGGTGGTGGTGGTGGTGGTGGTGGTGGTGGTGGTGGTGGTGGTGGCAGGTGGTGGAGAGGTAGCTGGCAATGCAGTGGTGGTGGTGGTGGTTGTGGCATCAGCTGACTGAGCGATGACAGGCGGAGGAACTGAGGCTGTCGTTTCCTTTTTTAAGAAAGTGTGGAGCGTTGGCTCCAGCTGTAGCAATTCTTCATTTGTTAGGTCTTCACCATGTCCCTCAAGCAGATCCTCCGTGTTTTCCTCATTCACCTCATTAAATCCTGCTTGCTGAATCAGCTGCCCGATCTGCTGGTTTGTAGCAGCTGGCGATTGTGGGAATCCAGAGAATCCACACACACACACTGGCCAAATTTTTTTTCCACGCACCATTCATTGCCGAGTTGGAAACTTCATCCCAGGCCTCTTTAATATTTTCCAGAGCTTTCTTTACATTAAAATATTTCCAAAACTGTCTTATTGTTGGGAGTTGTGGGCTAAGAAGCCTCCCACCTAAGTACTATTTCCAAAACAGAACAAAGAACATTTTAGGCCTGGATGGGAAATCCAAGGCTGGCAGGATCTACTGTATGGTATGTTTCATTCCTTAGAGAAGCACTTAATATTGTTAACACTCTCAGGATTGCCTGAACTTTATTTAATGAGCCTGTCACTTGCTCTGTTTGGAGCCCACAGAATGACCAGAAATTGATGAGAAGATAAATAAATAAATAAACAAGCAAATAAATAAATAAAAGCCGTTTTGGCAAGTATAAGTGAAAATTGAGAGTTTACTGTTGATTCCTCTTCATGCTGTACCCACATCATTGCACCAGTCAGTATAAAATGCATATGGCAAGAAAGAGTAAATCATGAGGAAAATGATGGTGTAATCAGAAAAAAAGATAATTGAGAAAGCAACAGAGTTACAGAAAAAAAGTAAAAATAAGTGGTGGTTAGGCGTGCATTTGCCGAAATGATTACCAGTACTGTATAAAAAAAATTTCCTCGCTAGATTTTTTGTTTAAATCTTTTGAAAGTATTTTTTGTTATGACGGATTATTACTGAACACAAACTATGGGAGAGAAATAGACAAGTTAGAAGTTTCTGTGACAAAAACTGAAATTTTGGCAATAATATTTCCACTTACTACTCAGAGGAGGTAGGCCTTGGCATATGCACGACAATGGCGATGGCATTACGAATACGTATCAAATAAGCACAATATATTCATTATAATTCACCATACACATGCTTCTACTGCACTACATTTCACTCTCACTTATTATTTTTCCAAGCTGGGCTTATATATTACGACATGCTTTTGTGTGATATATGTGACTGTACCGTGAGTAGCCAATTCACCAATATCTCATAAATTCAAAAATATTTTACTATTAATATTTCAATGCACATCACTTTATCACTTCATCAGAATAAATATCGAGGTTGTTAGAGGTAAATATCTTGAAACAGTGCCACAGTGGCCATTTTTAAATTGCGCCCAGGACCGAGACACTCACTGCTTACTGAGGCAGAAGCATTACCGACATTTGTTGTCTGATACCGCGTGGTCCACCACACATAGACGGGTTGCCACCTAGCTTAAAACTTGGTCCCGTACAATAGAGTAGCGAGACAAAAGTGGTGTTATAAATTTAAGTAATTCGACCAGAAATTTTTAGAGCTAACGAATAAAATGCCATACTGGAGTGTCTGATTGT